CCGATATATGTTTGATAGGAAAGAAGGAGAAAACCACTCCAAAGCAAGCACCCCTCTAAAATATTCTAATCACCTTGTAAACTTGTAAAGTATATAAAATTGCGCATGGATAACTTTAACACGTCTGTCACTGACAAAAATGTTCGATACATCCATAATTTGGGTAAATCCATACGAATAATTAAAGAGATTTCAGTTAGCGAAAGACAATATGTAGGAGTTATCTGTGATTTCGAGTTTTCCTTGTTCGTATTATCTGCTCCCTACTGTATATGAGGGGTATCGCAGTGAAATCATGTGCTCCCCAAATTATTGAAATCAAGGAAATAGCATTTTCCTGCCTGTTGAGAATTTTCATCGATTTAAGAATTTTTTTGGTTAATGCCTTTAATATCCATTTAAAACATGGACTTTACTGAAAACTGTTGATCAAAGACACAAAAATTGTAAACTTGCAATTTCCAAGGACACCCAGACTTTAGAAATCACCAAACTTCGGTGGACATTTTCTCGCTAATTTTACCTCCCACACTAGGCGACCCCCACCTCCTTCAAAGGAAAAATATGTTCAAGATAGATGGGTATTTTTTCCATCAATAGCTAGACACATGAACAGGCTTTTAGATCACACCAATAATTCAATAAGCACAAAAATGGATAAGCACCTGAAACCAACGCGTCGCAACACATGTGTCACGACTGAAACCGTGAAATCAGGCGCTCATCAAATCTTAACATGAATAGTTTTCTGCCCAGCTGGACAGATCATTAGAAGTATAAGATCTTAAATCTTGTCTTCGGAACAAGGTTTGATAAGAGATAATGGAACCCCCAAAAACGAAACACCCTGACCAAAACAAAAACAAAAAACACAGCAAAATATTAACAAACATCCAACATGAACAACAATGTCACTGACCATGTCCAGGATTTTCCTGAGCTTGAGAGGGGCGGGGCCGTGCGGGTTGACCGGTACGTGGCCAGTGAAGTAGATGACCGAATTACTGACCACACCATCTGAAGTTTTCCTCGCATTGGCTGAAACAAACATTGGGGTAGAGAGGGGTGTCACTTACAACGCTCTACCTCAGAATTACAACGTTCTATCTGACATTTTTGGTAATTTTGAGTCACTAAGACCATGAGGTCAAAAACCAATGTTCTGTCTATTCTATCAAAACCATAAGATAATTCGAAGTCGTTATCAAGATATTCAAAGAATTGCGTTTGAAAAAGCTAGACATTTTGTGAAACATTTGATGTCAAATTTCTCAAAACTACGTACAGAGAAGATTGAACGCTGTAATTATAGGGTACCCAACTGTCAAACTCTCAACCACTCAGGTGGCAAAAGTCACAAATTATATTTTTGTTTGTAGGTCAAACAGGATAAAAACTCACTGAGCAGAGGAAAGCAAAACCTTTTTGAAGCAATGACAAGAATTAAAACAGACAAAAGTTAAAATGATAACAGACCAAGGGACATCAATTTTTGCTCTAATGCCAGTTTATGAGAGCTACAGCGGTCTACCAAAGTCCCACCCCATCCACTCAGTAAACTGCTATCTAACATACATACTATCATTATCTTTTTTTTCTTTAGTAAGAGTTTTACGGCACTTGCAACACAATAAGGTCATATAAGTGCCGAAGATTAGAGGTGTTACAAGAGAGTAACAAACACAAAAAAGAAGGAGAGGAGATCAGGACGATACATGTTTGTTAGGAAAGAAGGAGCAAACCACATCACAGCACCCGCCAACCATCCACTGTCATTATCATTACCACAGTATAATTATTATTATTAATCATCATAATACTTATTATAAAATCTCCCACACTCACCAATAGCGAGGTTGAGATCTCGTCGCAGGACGAAGCCCACCAGGTACTGGGACTCCCTGGACACAACCACAGGGAAGCCATTGTGCTCCGTGTTGCGCAGTAAACTCTCTGATGAAAAAAAGGAAGTTTTTTTAGTTTTAGTAAGAGTTTTACGGCACTTGCAACACAATAAGGTCATATAAGTGCCGAAGATTAGAGGTGTTACAAGAGAGTAACAAACACAAAAAAGAAGGAGAGGAGATCAGGACGATACATGTTTGTTAGGAAAGAAGGAGCAAACCACATCACAGCACCCGCCAACCATCCACTGTCATTATCATTACCACAGTACAATTATTATTATTAATCATCATAATACTTATTATAAAATCTCCCACACTCACCAATAGCGAGGTTGAGATCTCGTCGCAGGACGAAGCCCACCAGGTACTGGGACTCCCTGGACACAACCACAGGGAAGCCATTGTGCTCCGTGTTGCGCAGTAAACTCTCTGATGAAAAAAAGGAAGTTTTTTTAGTTTTAGTAAGAGTTTTACGGCACTTGCAACACAATAAGGTCATATAAGTGCCGAAGAATAGAGGTGTTACAAGAGAGTAACAAGCATAAAACAGAAGGAGGAGAGATCAGGACGATAGATGTTTGATAGGAAAGAAGATTTTCGAGGAGAAAAGTGGCTGTTTCAGAAAAAGAATGATCACACACACACACACAAACACACACTCACTCACTCACATTTAGAAACCCGCCACATGCACAAATACACACACTTATGTTACACACACAAACAAACACACACACATATACACACACACTCAAATTTAGAAACCGACATGTACAAACACTTACATTACACATTCAGAGACACACACATTTATATTATACACACAAACACACACACACACATACACACACTCACTCACATTTAGAAACCCGCCACATGCACAAATACACACAAACACACATACTTATGTTACACACACACACAAACACACACACTCACACACACAGATAGACAAAATCCACACAAACAACCCCACAGACCCCTCACCTGTCTCCTCCACGGTCAGCGAGTCCTGGGTTATCACAGCCAAGGGGGGATCATTCCTCCTGAAGCCAGACACAACACGACACATTAAAAACACACCAACGACATATCAATAACATATAAATAAAACAGAACACGACGCATCAACAACATATCACAAGACACCAAGAACACATCACGGAACACTTCAAAAACAGAACATAACACATCAACAACAGAACATAACACATCAGCAACAGAACACAACACATCAAGGACACATCAACAATACATCATCAACAGAACAATTTGTTTTTGTTTCAGCAAGGAGTTTTACAGCACTTGCAACACAATTAGGTCTTAAAATAAAGTGCCGAAGATTAGATGGAGTAACAAACATAAAAAAGAAGGAGGAAAGATAAGGAAGACAAATGTTTGTTAGGCAAGAAGGAGCAAACCACATATTTACATACGACATATTATATACATATATTCTACAAGTGGAGAAATGAATGGAGAAAAATAATCGCCGATGCCTGCTTCAGATCTGGCACTTTCCTGATAATGATATACAATACTGTACTATATAATGTATATTATACAAATAAAAGAGCCATTCTCAAAATGTAAGCACAGCTGGGATCCTTTTCTTCTTAGTCCATTAAATATGACACTAATGTAAAATTTCTATGAAACCAGCCCTTTTTGAAGAAGACAATGACCAAATATATACACTATCTCATTGGACATTTAAAGAGGCATTATGATTATCTTGTTAGATGGCACTTTAAGGTACGTCATTTAAGAAGACAATGTCATTTAAGAAGACATTCCATTAAAGAAAATAGGTCATTAAAGAAAACAATTCATTTAAGAGGACTGTTCACATAAGAAAACAGGTAATTTAAGAAGACAGGTAATTAAAGAAGATATGTCATTTAAAAGGACACATCATTTTAAAAAACAGGTCATTTAAGAAGACAGGTCATTAAAGAAGATAGGTCATTTAAGATGCCTGGTTTACGGCTGGTCAGAACACATCAACAACAGATACTCTGTAACAACAGAATAATAAACTACGACAAAGTATGATTTTTACGAATAATTTGGCACTGTATGGGCTACAAGATCAGTATAGGAGGTATATTAGCAGACTGAAGGAACACCTAACATCTGCTAAGAGCACATCATGACGGACAAGTGACAAAATCAAACCCAGTAATGTTTAAAAGATGCCTTATTATCTATTACAAGTATCTGACCCAAAACATTATAAAAGTTTTTTTTAAAGGCAATAATAATAGGCTTTTTGTAAATTATGACGATTGATATGTCATAAAATAAGAAACACATACACACCAAGAATCTATATTACGGCAGACTATAACAATAATCACACAGCTTATTGATTATATATGATATTATATTATACATAGAATAGATGACCCCCCCCCCCCATTTTTTTCGCCTTCTTTTTTGTACAATTATGAATATTGTTTGATACAAAATCCTCAACAGTATCTTTTTATAAAAATAATAGTTGACACCTTGGAGAAAAAAGTTCAAGGCGATTTTTATTGGGGGGGGGGGGGGGGAGGGTGCAAGAAAGACCCTTATGCATATCAATAACAGAAACGGTAGTTAGTAATGTTCTTTCAATTACGCCTTGCCATTTTGGAACATGATCCTATGGCTAAGCCAAGCCACAAAATGCTAGTTGCAGTCAGAATATTCTAAGCACCAGATAAAAGTAAATTCATCATTCTGTTTTGTTTTCAAAACACTATTTGCTTGTCCATTGGTCTTTAAGATAACCAAATACTATATCGTGTAGTTAGAACAATGGTGCTTTGGGGTGGGGGGGGGGGGGTAGGGAAAGCCAATATCATACATTATACAAAATGTCTTCGACTCCCCCACCCCAATTTATAAGAAAAAACAGAAAAAAGAGGCCTGTACTATAGAGGTGGTAGTCTTTCACAGCATCTGAACAGCAGCACAAAGTGAACACTTTCGCATCTGGACGAGGGGGGGGGGGCAGGTGGGAGGGCTCGGAAGACTAGGAAAAACGAGAACTAAAAGGTTCATACCTGTCACATATTAGGCATATGTTGTTTTGAATATGATTCTTCTTCTTCTTCTTTTTCTTCTTCTTCTTATCATGTACATTGGTCTCATTATCCATTGCAGTTAGAAGCCATCTTAATCCTTATTTTTTTCTATTTCTAATCAAGAAATATTCTTCTCTGCAGACACCCTGCTGTCAATCGTCAACCATTGACAGAGGAACTATTATAAAATAATACACATTCATGTTAACTAAGAGCGGGGATTACCACACATTAGGGTGAACAATACATCTCTGCCAAATGTACAGGTAACCGCAAAATATTGAACACATTTCAACACAAGCATAAATGGAATACGCTGATACAGTATTTGCTCAAAGGGAGAAATTCAAAACATTTTGCAGTCTTGTTGTCCTTCCCATTTTTTTGAGTCTGGGTTACGAAAAGCACATCAAACACAACAAATGGCACTTACTGTGGATTTATTATTTTCAAAGGAAAGACAGTGACTAGAGAGAGAGAGAGAGAGAGAGAGAGAGAGAGAGAGAGAGAGAGAGAGAGAGAGAGAGAGAGAGAGAGACAGACAGACAGACAGACAGACAGACAGACAGACAGACAGAGACAGAGAGAGACAGAGACACACAGAAACAGAGAGAGACAGAGAGAGAGACAGAGAGAGAGACAGAGAGAGAGACAGAGACAGAGACAGAGACAGACAGTCAGTCAGACAGACAGACAGACAGACAGACAGACAGACAGACAGACAGACAGACAGACAGACAGACAGACAGACAGAGAGGAAGTAAGGCCTAATTTAAGTGGCGCCCACCAACTACCCACTTTTCCTTCCTTTCATCAATCTCCTCTATGCAAAGTGAATGTATATACATATATATTTACATTTGAATTAAACAAGATGATAAAAACATTTTTTTAAAACCTACCTCATTCAAACTCTTAACATAACCCCTTTACAACATGACACAGTTTTGCTCTACCCCATTCCAAGAGTAAGGAGGAGGAGTACTTAAAATAGTAAAACAGACTGCCAACTTTGTCTCAAAGGAGAGCCAATAAAGATGGCCTACTTTTGTCTTAACCTCTAACATGCTCAACACGATACTGGCTAGTATGAATTTAGCGCCCCTTTCAATAGTATATAAGGCTATTATTAGAACTTCCAAATCTAACATCAGTCTCCAATGTGACTGAGACTTGTGAGAAGAAAGTCTTGGAAACTAAGTTTAAGAACACCTCAAAGGGGATCCGAACTAGGTTCATCTTCGCTTAGCCCTGTATGAACAGAGCTAATGATGATCCAATAAAAAAGATATAGTATTCAAAAAACGTAAATGCTTTTTACTTTTCCCCATCGACACAATTTAGATCATTTAGGAAGTGGGCTTCCAACCCTTCCAATAATGGTTGACCCGGGCTGAGCTGAGAAAGATGCAAAATCCCGCCCCAATCCCGAATCAAACTCGGGTATCGAACTCGGGCCTCCAGCGTGCGACAGCAAAGCGCGTAGCTGCTACACCACAGACACAGGTCAAAAGATGATAAACAAGAGAAAAAGCTAAAGAAAGGGTTTGAACCAAGAACATCCCCGATCACCGTTCCGCAGCAGAAGCAGAAGAAAAAATCCCCAACACTTATTATTCCGCCGTCAATCCGAAACCACCATTCTCATTGAAAAAAAATCTAGCACCATCTTCTTGAAAGAACATTGCAGAAGGCGTAGAATCAATCCCTAAAACACCACCACGTGCCACCATTTGACAGAGAAAGTAACAACAAGTAATAAATACATGTGACATGTACACCGATAATTAAGGAATCTCTTCCAACACCAAGTGTCTCCAAGTAACTCTGATTGCAGAGGAGCTATTGCTTGTCTTAGTTCTTTGATCTTTGACAACCACAGCGGAGCCAACTTAAATAGATGATGCTAAAATGGATACCTGATATCACTTCATCATACCTGGATACCTGGAAGAATCATCTCTGGTTAAGAGGTTGACGTGTAATGTCCCACCACTACTTGCGGTCGCTAGCTACTGTCAAAAACTTTGTTATACTTTGGCAACTTATCAGATAATTCTAAACTCAGGATAACTAACAAATTCATATTATTTATGTTGGATTTTCAGAACAGTATTCACTTTGCTTGTTCGTTGGTCTTAAAGATCATAATATACTAATGGGACTAACCCCATACTTTGTGAGACTTGGACACCGAATGATAATTTCATTTAAAAAATTGATAACACTGAAAATCTAACTCTAAACCTAACGCTAAACCTAATCCTAATTGTAACTCTGTAACCTAAAAATAAAACACTATTGGGGTCTGCCAGACCCCCATTGTGTAGACTAAGGTTAACCTAATAAAAAATACTGGTATCAATACATCTAAATATTTTCATGATTACTGGTTCCTCTGTGTGGTCGACAAAGTGGCACATCACAATAGCTCCTCTGCGATGTTCCCCATATCTCAACCTTCGACTGAACTTACAAACATCGTTCTTATTTATCAACCAGAATAAATCCATTTCATACAATAAGTTATGAGAATGCAGTCAAACAAGTCCGTTAAAATAAAGGTTAACCCCTTCAGTGCCGTGCCCTGAGACAGTCTGTCTCGGGCTAAAATTAAAAAAAAAAAAAATCACACATTTCGGCAGTGAACGGGTTAAAAGAGAAGACGGCGAAAAAGTGTGCTTGTACATTAATTTTAAAAAAACAAAAAAAACAAAAACAAAAACATCATGAACAAAATACAAATTAAAAATTTAAAACAAAAAAAAAAGAAAAAGAAAAATGCAGGTGAACAGAAATACGATGAGAGAAAAAACGGTGAAGAATCAATCAAACAAGCAAACACGGACTAACGGTCAAACTTACACTCCGATTCCGTAACGCCAGTAGCTTTAGTGATTTTGGGAAATGATCAAACAGGAGTGAACCAATGTGCCAGGAAACCAAAAGGAAAGTAAGCGCATGTGTATGTGTTCGCGTGTACGTGTACGTGTGTGTATGTGTGTAGGTATGGTAGAATAGAAGCATGGAAGGTTGGAGGGAAAAGGGGTTGGGGGGG